AGTCCAAATACGTCACAGAAACTAGTTCTTCAGCAGTTCAAATACGTCACAGAAACTAGTTCTTTAGCAGTCCAAATACGTCACAGAAACTAGTTCTTTAACAGTCCAAATACGTCACAGAAACTAGTTCTTTGCAGTCCAATTACGTCACAGAAACTAGTTCTTCAGCAGTTCAAATACGTCACAGAAACTAGTTCTTCAGCAGTCCAAATACGTCACAGAAACTAGTTCTTTAGCAGTCCAAATACGTCACAGAAACTAGTTCTTTAGCTGTCCAAATACGTCACAGAAACTAGTTCTTTAGCAGTCCAAATATGTCACAAATAAATATACGCTAATCCTATCGCCTATACCTGTAGTCTACATACCTTGGTGTAAACCATTAATATTTTAGATTAAACAGAATTCATAGTTTAAAATATGAAAGGTTTATGGTATCGGGTTGAAAAAATACAGAAATTAAAAAATTAGAATTTGTGGCAAAAGTGTATTTCCTGTATATCCGGCTGTATTACCATTCATGCCTTGAATGTACAACAAGAGGTATACACTACAAACAATTCTAAATGTGAATAGAAACTACTGTTCTCTCAGTAACTATTTATTCTCTCTGTTCTTGGTATTTAAAGGACATGAAGTAAACTTGAACCAAATTAGATCTTTAAATCCAGAATCATGAACAAACAATTTTATAATTACAACATACCAAAATAAGATTAGAAAATTTAAGTCAATTCCCAGGAATTTAGAATATCTCTGATTTAAAAAAAACCAAACAATGTTTTTAATTTTCTTATTTATTTTCTAAGAGTTTACTGCTAAATAATATCTTGGAAAATTTGTCTTTCATAAAATCACCATTTTCAAAAAATATGAGTTCTTTGAATAATTTCTTTAAAAGAATATGATTTCTTTGAATCTTCTTTTTCTTAAACCATCGTTTGTTGATTTTCTTTTTCGATTCTCTTTTATAAACTATGTTTCATTAAATGCATTCACGAATCACGGATCACGAGTTCTTAAAATATTTTCTTACATAAACCATGATTTTTCATAAATCGTGGCTTTCTTAAATTTTATTTTTCAAAAATCGGGGTTTCCTAAATTCTTCACTTTCTTAAACCATGTATGGTTTCCCAACATCTTCTATTTTATGAATCATCGCTTTAAAAGAACTTTAAAATTAATCTTGTTACAGATTTACTGCCGACAGTCTTCATAGGAACATAGAATCAATAAGTCTATTTAAATTTTCTATTTCATAAACTATTTTTTTCTTAAATCTACTTTTTTTAAACAATGAATAATGTGAATGTGAAATTAGTTTCCTAATTTACTAAAAAACAGGATGCAAGTTATCAATATTATCTTACCTACTATATAATGCACTCTATAAAGGAAGATAGGAAAAGATAGAAATTTTGCGAAATAGATATGAGTTAGTTAAAAAAAATGAAGAATTTAATTTTTTAAAATTTTTTTCTTTATTTAGATAAATTATACTGATTATGTAAAATAAACGTTTTAAAGATTATAAAAGACTAATCTAAGAAGAGGATGGAAAGAATGAATATATGCCCGAAGGAAAGATGATTGATGGGTTTAAGAATTTAAAGTTCTTGTTTCTGTATCTATATACTCTCAGCCTGCAGCAATAGGACGTGTTACACATCAGCCTATGATAATGTTGAAACTGAAACCCTAAAATTACAACGTGCATCAAGAGAAACAATCTCTATATCGTTCTTTTATCTAAGGTAAACGGGTTAAAAACCTGACTCTACAAATCAGTTTTACCCATTAAATATATTATTTTTAATTAACTTTAATTTTACTTATTCGTTGAACTAAAAATGTGCAGAAGGTGCTATGAGATACAAAAATGTGCAGAAGGTGCTATGAGATACAGAAATGTGCAGAAGGTGCTATGAGATACAAAAATATGCAGAAGGTGTTATACGATTACAAAAATGTGAAGAAGGTGCTATGAGATACAAAATGTGCAGAAGGTGCTATAAGATTACAAAAATGTGCAGAAGGTGCTATGAGATTACAAAATGTGCAGAAGGTGCTATGAGATACAAAAATGTGCAGAAAGTGCTATAAGATTACAAAAATGTGCAGAAGGTGCTATGAGATTACAAAAATGTGCAGAAGGTGCTATGAGATACAAAAATGTGCAGAAGGTGCTATGAGATACAAAAAAAGTGCAGAAGGTGCTATGAGATACAAAAATGTGCAGAAGGTGCTATAAGATTACAGAATGTGCAGAAGGTGCTATAAGATTACAGAATGTGCAGAAGGTGCTATAAGATTACAGAATGTGCAGAAGGTGCAATAAGCTACAAAAATGTACAGAAGGTGCTATAAGATTACTAAAATGTACAGAAGGTGCTATAAGATTACAAAAATGTACAGAAGGTGCTATAAGATTACAAAAATGTACAGAAGGTGCTATAAGATTACAAAAATGTACAGAAGGTGCTATAAAATTACAAAAATGTACAGAAGGTGCTATAAGATTACAAAAAGGTGCAGGGAATCTCATAATTACACTCACAGTAATTTAAAGAGGGTTAAAGAATACTCAAAATGACTACAAAAGCTCTCAGCTAGAGTTTACACTCTGTGTTTAGATGTAAGATTAAGCAAGGTTATATATTTATTTGTTTATGGTAACATTTGGTTGAAGGAAACCGTAGTTAATTATTTAAATAATGCTCTGATGATATATATCATACATATATTACACTGGTTGTATGAATGCTAATATGAGAGAATTGTAAAATCTATATTTAATGATTGTTTGTCTTTTAAAAAAGGCGGAGAAATAGTAATTATGAAAAATAAAGTTTTCGCGAAACATGTAGAATGGAAAAATACTGAATTAGGACATGTTAGGAGCCAACTCAGGCAGAATATTGTCCATAATGGACAGGTTTAAGATAAACTTATTCTCTCCTTTATAGGACCTTTCAGTTAAAGAGGGGCATTCACGATTCACAACAGTACCCATCAAACCTTTGACTGATCAGCGAGGACAGAGAACTCAGTGCATTTGTTGTCTAATAAGCACTAAATCTGAAGTGTACGCTAGCGTAGTTTGCCTCCAACGCGGTTTTAAAATAATTGAATGTGCATATTTATATTCTGCCACTTCTAGAATATAAAACAGGTTACAAAATTACAAGAGTTTATTTGGATAAATAATGAAAAGCCCGTCATCCTTGATGAGTCAAAGGTTCAAAGGGTACCATTGTTAATCGGGAATGCCCCTTTGTAAAATGATGGCCACTTGAAATTACGCTTACTGTCACTTTAGGAATCATCTGATACCAAGAAAAGTTACTAGATATAAAATTCAACTATGACTCAATCTCTCCTTTTCATTTTGAAAACACTACGATTAAAGTAAAACAAACCTTTTTCGTGTACAATGAAACACAGGAAAAATAGACACTTTTTGAAGATCCTCAACCACTAAAGAGGAAGCATCACTTTTTTTTCACTATCCTATAATTTCTCCTACAAATTTTCACTTTGCAAATTAACTTATTTTTTTATATTGACAAGTAAAACAAATCATAAATAGATATTTTTATCTCGTCTGATTCACTATTTTCCGCCCCGTGTATTCAGATCAACATATGGACATCTACTCTCTCAACCATCTTAGATTTACAGAAAGAGAGAGTCTACCCCCCCTCCCTCCTCCCTGGTTTTGGGTCCTGTCCGACTGCAAGAGCTTACAAGCAACGGTTCCTAGTTTCCCCACCTGTTGCAGGAAAATTAAGGAGGGGGGGGGGGTAGCCTTTGGGTTACTTTATGAATTTTAGGCAGGGCTATTTGAAATATTTTCTCTCAAGTATCATTTGTATAATATAAATAATCATTATTTTTTTCTCATTTTTATCTTGTTATTCTTATTCATCCTGCTTATCTTATTCATCCTGTTTATTTTATTCATCCTTCTAGCATATCTTATCCATCATTCTTATCTTATTCATCCTTATTATTTATTTATCTTTCATATCTTATTAATCCTTCTTTCCATATTCTTCCTTCTTATCTAATCCATCCTTCTTATAACTTTTTTTCATCCTTTTTTTCTTTACAATATCCAATCTTCTTATCTTAGTTATTCTTCTAATATTATTCATTCTTTATCATCTTTCTTATCTTATCCATCATTCTTATCTTATTCGTCCTTATTATTTATTTATCTTTCATATCTTATTCATCCTTCTTTTCATAATCTTATTTATCCTTCTTGTCTTATTCATACTTCTCATATTATTCATACTTCTTCTCTTATTCTTTCCTTCTTATCTTATCCATCCTTCTTATCTTATTCATCCTTCTTCTCTTATTCTTTTCTTCTTATCTTATCCATCATTCTTATAACTTATCTTATACATCCTTTTTTCCTTTACAATATCCAATCTTCTTAACTTATTTATTCTTCTAAAATTATTCATTCTTTATAATCCTTCTTATCTATTCATATTTCTTATCTTATTCATCCATCGTATCTTATTTATCTTTCTTATTCATCATTGTTCTCTTATTCATCCTTCGTATCTTATTAATCCTTCTTATCTTATTCATCCTTCTTATCTTATCTATCCATCTCATATATCCTTCTTATCTTATCCATCCTTCTTATCTTATTCTTCCTTCCTATCTTATTCATTCTTCTTATATTATTCATCCTTCTTATCTTATTCATCCTTCTTATCTTATTCATCCTTCTCATATTATTCATTCTTCTTCTCTTATTCATCCTTCTTATCTTATTCATCCTTCTTATCTTATTCATCCTTCTTATCTTATTCATCCTTCTTATCTTATTCATCCTTCTTATCTTATTCATCCTTCTTATCTTATTCATCCTTCTCATATTATTCATTCTTCTTCTCTTATTCATCCTTCTTATCTTATTCATCCTTCTTATCTTATTCATCCTTCTTATCTTATTCATCCTTCTTATCTTATTCATATAGAAACAAAAATATAATTTTATTCCAAATATACAAATATACAAAAGTATCAAATTATCTGTTGATATTGGAAACTTTGAGTATTGCTTGCTGTACATGATCCTTGTCTGCTAGGTACACTCTTCTCTCTACTAGATCCAGACTAGAGTTGTACCGGTACATGAAGGGAATTCCGTTGGGTAGATCCGTCTAAAATCAGAACTTTTAGTTATAAAAAACTTTACACTGTACCGGTACATGAAAGGAATACCGTTAAGTAGATCCGACTACAATTAGAACATTTAGTTATATTAAACTGTACACTGTACCGGTACATGAAAGGAATACCGTTAAGTAAATCCGACTACAATTAGAACATTTAGTTATATTAAACTGTACACTGTACAGGTACATGAAAGGAATACCGTTAAGTAGATCCGTTTTCAATTAGAACATTTTGTTTTAACTGTACAGTGTACAGTATACCACGAATATCTAGACACCTAAAATGAGAACCAGAAAATAATAGAATAGAAAGATGACACTTCAGCAATACTTCTAGGTTTTCATGTTGTTACAAAGCAAATATCTTCACTAGTAACTCAGCAAAGCACAATTTAAGTGAAAGGGGTTTATTTACAATGTAAAATTGCTATGTCTAATGTTCATTGAACTAGTTTAAGTCCTAACTTGAGTTTAACAGATGTCTTCCTATTTTAGAGTTTTCTGGTTATCACTGTATGAAAGCTATTCATTAAATTTTTAGACAGCCTAGACTTTAAAGCGTGTCGCTACGGTTTGGGTTTTAGTTTTACATCACCAAGTCACTTAAACTTTTTTGTTGCCCTAGGCATCATGTTAGATCGTTTAATATGTGAGTATTATGTGCGTATTTTGGAGTTAAAGCTTAAAGATAATTCATTTTGATATGGGACTAATGGGACTAAGGAGCATGGAATATTAGAGAGATTGAATCGATCCGGCCATCCCTACCATATGATTATCCATGTTTTGCAGACGGTACTTCATTTGAATAAGAAATATTTGTCTAATGTACAAATACCGCGTACATGCATTCATAATAGGTTATTGAATAAATTAGACAGTGAAAAAATAAGGCTGCATAAAGCAAACAAAACACATTTTTTGGGATGCAAAATATTAGCAATATAAGCATATTTTAATATAAAAATCAGAGCTGGGAACTTTTGAATGGTGGATATCGGGATTAAGGCTTGATCCACTCTTTTTCTTAATCTCGAGATTAAAAAATGCTTGTTCTCCTTTTGTTATTAATCTTCAGATTAATTAACCGATCGGGATTAAGGATATCCCATTCTAAAGTTTTCAGCTCAGGTTAATTTAATATGGTATAATAAAAACCACCTAAAAAATTAAAAGACGACCCTCTAAAAAATCTTTTTCAACGGAGTATCCCGTCTGCAAAGCATGTATAATCATATGGTGGTGCAAGCCGGGTCGATTCCATCTCCCGTATAATTCCATGCAGAAGTTCCTTGTATGGGACGCTTTGTACATTCTAAATTTGCAACGCGCATGTTTCTATCTTCAGTTCAAAAGTAGTATTTGGGAAAATAATGATCGATTTTTGCGTGAGGAGTGTGCACATCTTGGTTTGCAGGTGATTCAGATGTCCTTGAATATACACACATATCATCCTAATTTTCGAATTTAGAATCACAATGAAGTCTATCTTACCGCTATTCGTGAGAGCCAGAAAACTGTTTTTTTTTCTGGAATAATATGAAGGCCTGCATTTTTAAACTTCAGGACAGATTATAATAAAATTAATTATCATTAGTTTAAAACATTTGGACTTAAAGGATTAATCTTTATTTCATTCCTGGACCATCTTTAAATGGTGATATAATAATTTTAAATTGTTACCTTCTCAATTTCTTCACTTGACAATCCTTCTATGTGCATAACAAGACCCCTGGAAATATTTATTGAAAGTTTTGGATTTTATTTAGGATTTTTACTGTTTATAATCTTTTGATATGAACTGTACTAATCTATATCGGTTTGCCTGTTTTGTTGTTCGTGAGTTATGTCCGATCATAACTCACGAACCCTTTGCATGATTTGTCTTAAATTTGGATTGGGGAACTCAATAGAGAATGTTTGACTAAAAAATGTACTGTTTTTATGCTAAATGATTGTAAAAAATTTACTGTTTGAAGCTAAATAAATTTACCGTTTTACAAACAATGTACTAGCTAAATAAATTTGTCGTTTGACTCCAAAATGTACTATTTAAAGCTAAATAAATGTACTGTTTAAATCAAAAATGTAATGTTTAAAGCTAAATTAATGTACCGGTTGGCTCTAAAATGTACTGTTATAAGTCAAATAAATGTACTGTTATAAGTTAAATAAATGTACTGTTTGACTCATAAAAGTACTGTAAGGTAAATAAATGTAATGTTTGACTCTAAAATGTACTGTTTGACTGTACTGTACCTAAGTGAGGTTCCATGTGCTACAACAAGAACAGTTTTACCAAGAGCAAGGTTTGGAAGAATAGAATCTCTGAAGATTGTTGGGATTATTCAACATTTGTATATTCAATTTTAGTTCACTAGGCTTTTAGGGCGCTTCGCGCCCATCTTCTATTTCAACTTTTAATCGTGGCTTTATCTGTGAGCATCTTCTCAATTTGTACAGTATAAACAAACAAAAAATTTTCGGATTTCATAATATTTTTTTCGCGCATTTTCAAAATTTTTACCATTCATAAACCTTCTTTGGGGTCACTTGAGGTCCCACATAAAATTTGGGCCCGATTGGTTCAGCCGTTTTGACGTCTATTGGATACAAACAAACAGACAGACAGACTTAATAACCCGGGATATCGAGAAATAGCATAAACTATGTAGATTAAGTTAATCCAAAACTCTGCATAAACTAGGTAGATTAAGTTAATCCACAACTCTTCATAAACTAGGTAGATTAAGTTAATCCACAACTCTTCATAAATTAGGTGGATTAAGTTAATCCAAAACTCTGCATAAACTAGGTAGATTAAGTTAATCCACAACTCTTCATAAACCTGGTAGATTAAGTTAATCCACCTCTTCGATTTGAACCGCGCGACGCAAAAATGCAGAAGTCACTTAATTCGAGTACTTCTCGTAACTCTTTAAATCTGAAACTCAGAATTTTATGGAGACTAGCATTATGTATTTTTTCGCATATTGATATTTCTATTTTGATAAAAATTCACACTTTGCAACAGAGTGAACATTTTTTCAGAAAATTCATCTGTCTTTTCGAAAATATTTTTAAAGTAATTTAAAAGAAATTTTGTATCCAAATGACAATACTAGTTTTTTCCTCAAAGCTCCAAATGCCATTCCTGCATTTTATAAATGTTATTGCTCAGGAAATGTACATGACAATGTACATGTACATGTTATTGTGCAGGAAATGTACATGACAATGTACATGTGCATGTTATCGTGCTAGAAATTAACATTAAATGCGCATGTGTGCATGTTATTCTGTGGTACATGACAATGTACATGCACATATTATTCTGTAGGAAATGTAATGTTATTAAGCGGAAAATGTACACGTTATTGTACAATAAATGTACATGGTATTGTACATGTTTGAAAAATATTTGTTGAATAATCAACCTTCCTCCAGAGTGGTGTTGTCCGATGAACAAGATCTGCGAGGGATTCTGAACAGGGGATTTCCTCTTCTCTTAATATACCCTGGAATCAGATTTAAAGGGACTGTAAGGATAATTTTAGATGGCCTTCTATTAATAGAAGGGAACGTCCGGTTTACATCGATGCTCTTAAACCTTTGCTTGATCAAGTATTTCGTAGATATTCCATAATGTCATGTCCCAATATACACTAGAGCACGGAAAATACAGCAAACCTGTAATCTCGAGTCTCCTGGCACTGCATCTTCAGCTCCTCGAGTCTCCTGGCACTGCATCTTCAGCTCCTCGAGTCTCCCGACACTGCATCTTCAGCTCCTCGAGTCTCCCGGCACTGCATCTTCAGCTCCTCGAGTCTCCTGGCACTGCATCTTCAGCTCCTCGAGTCTCCCGACACTGCATCTTCAGCTCCTCGAGTCTCCCGGCACTGCATCTTCAGCTCCTCGAGTCTACCGGCACTGCATCTTCAGCTCTACAAATGAGGTTATCTACATCATCCAGACAAAGGTTTTAAGGGTACCGTTGTGATTCGGACCTTCCTCTCTATAAACAGAAGGTCACTTGCAATTACGCTTACAGTCCCTTTAAACAATAGGAAGGATGAACTTTGAAGACCTAGACGAAGATAAGTGAACTACAGTGACAACTAGAAAACTCTGGAATAGGAAGCCGACATTACAGCAATAATTAGGTGTATTTGGTGTTGTTATGAAGCAAATTGTTTTCTATTAACCTATAAAATCACTTATTATGTGAATTGAGTCTTTTCACACCACACAAATGCTTGGTCTCATGTTCATTGGACTAACTTGAGTACAAAGTCGTCTTCCTATTCGAGAGTTTTTTAGGTTCTTGCCGTAGTTCAACTAGTTAGATTACAGATAATTAGGATATCAATCATGGAACAAATATTTCAATAAAGTTCAAAAACAATAATTGAATAAAAATACATAGAATATATCTCAGGGTGCCAAATCCCTAAGCACTGTGGAACGATTGTCGTCTTACTTTCTTTTGATTAAAAATTGTTATAGAGTTAGTTTAAAATGTCGTATTCCATAGTTTGTTAAGTTGTTTGATACCAAAGAGAATAATAAAATATATTATATTACAGTCATTTACCTAGTAAAATTAATTTCAAAGCAATATGTATCTAATTGATCTGATATTTTAGATTTTTTAACAAAATAAACTGCAAAAAGTCTTTATGTTCTGATACATTAAAAATGCAATTCACCAACCTCTATGTTTCGTGGAATACCCTGTAACTAATATAATAAATTACGACAATTTAGCTGTTCCGAGAAAAGTAAAATTTTTTATCAACCACTGATGAAAAGAAATAGAATTTTTAATTCAATATTAAAAGAAACCTGAAATTTCTTGTTTTGTATGATCTGAGAGTAAAACGGATGTTTAGAATCCATCTCTGGAGGTTGGACATCATAACTTCGCCTCCAAATCCCAACCTAGACAGTAAACAGGGTTCAGAGCTTGTTCAGAACCTGGTACAGAGAGTCTCATATCACATTGAATAATCTTCAAGCTTTAACGCCAAAATACGCACAGAATACTTATAAAACCAAGTACTTTCTACATGCAAATTTTATACTAGTCTTTTACAATTTAAAAAAAATGATCCAGCCTGGGTCCAGAGGCAGAAGCCCAGAGGAGTTTCACGCAGTCGGCGTAGAGCAGGCTCTCTCTCTTTTGTTATTCTATGCCGACTGCGCAAAACTCCTCTGGGCTTCTGCCTCAGGATTATTGTGAACGAGTTTCATCCAAATCTTGAAAAGACGACATCTAGTGTTTTATCTGTTATTTTGATTAATCTCTGGTGTAAAGTATCGCGGTATAAAATAATTTATTTTGGGAACTCAGCTTCGACTTAATTTAATTTTTCTCTATACAAGTCGGCCCACTCAACTTAGAATTTTTAAACCAAGCAAAGCACACTCTAGATGTGTCTAAAGAGTTCATTGTCAAAATTTGAGGCAAATCAGTCCAGGGGTCCCTGTCTAATGATCTCTGAGACATTTTAAATATTCAGTTTCAAGTTCGTGAAGAGTGTTATGAACATATAGTTTTTTTTTTGCAAAGGCGCTCTATTAGCAACGTCTTTGCCACTTTGGTGAACCATATTGTTAAAATTCGTGTTCATCTGTCGTCTTCCTATACATTGTATGTGATCTACAGAGGCCGAAACTTAAGACATTTTAAGCATGGTTAAATCAGATTCTAACCATGGTAAACTGATCGAATACAACAGCTTTTTGAAACTTAACTTTAACCATGGGTAAAATCATTGTAATGGTTTGCGGCATCAGCGCAGCTCAGATTTTAACCCTAGGTGTACCTAGGTCACCTAGGGTTAAAGTGGGTTTAAATATGGTTTAATGGACGCGCTTTCTAGTTTCAGACTAAAGTTTCCTGATGTCAACATGATCTTTGTACAAAAATACACAAATATTTTTCTTTGAAAAAATGTAGCTTTTAAAATTAAAAAAGTCCCCCATCATATCGTCAATAATTACGATTTTCGGGACTAATCAGAAAATTTAGAAAGAATGAATCATTTTGAAAAATTTAATAAGTCTAATAAAAAACATTTTTTGCAGAAATGCTAGGATTTCGAGTATTCTGTGTTTTTTACGTTAAAGTTTGGAGCTAATCTAATAGGATATAATCTAATAGGATTATAAGATCACATACTCGCAGGAATAGAAGAGAGATATAACTGACGCGGTTCGCCCTACCGTATGACTATACACGCTTTGCAGACGGGTACTTCATTTTAATAAGAAATATTTGTCTGATGTACAAATACCGCGTAAACAATAACCTATTCTGAATACGGTACAAATGGAGTACCGTCTGCAAATCATGTATAATCATATAGTAGGGCGAACCGCGCCAGTTATATCTCCTTTCTATTCCTTACTCCCTGCGTACTCTGAGTATGCAAATAGAAACACTTATCTAACCTGTTCTTTTCCATATTTGACGACACACTCCGCCTTATCCAACCCAGTCAATCCACCGTAGTGCCGCTCATTTAACCTCCAGTCTCTGTACACCTGCAGAGATACAGAACTATCTTATTGAACTGTATCTGTATCTATGTTTACCAACGCTATCTGTATCTTTATCTATGTTCACATACTCTATCTGTATCTTTATCCATGTTTTCCTACATTATCTAGACTGTACCTTTATCTATGTTTACCTACTCTATCTGTGTCTTTATCTATGTTTACCTACTCTATCTCCAAGAATCAGTTTTGTCAATTACCCAGGGAACAGGAATATAGGGAAAGGAAATGGCGCTGGTCCGGCAAGAGAAAGCAGCCGGGTTCTAGAGACCTAAATACCACTCTTTACAAATCTTGCTTGGTGGTATTAAGGGTAGATCATCTACCTTACGCGTTCTTTAGAAGTGTAAATACTGGTATTATGCATGATACCGGTATTACAAAGAGTGGTGTTACCGAAATCCAGCCGCAGGGTGGATTTAGGTAGGATAATCTACCTTATATACCAGTATTAGTTTGGTTTGGGTAAATTCTGAGAAAAGAAAGCTCATGAATTACAGGGATGCATCAAATACAGGGATACATAAAAAACGAATGATTACTTTTAGAATGGAAAATAATTTTATAAGCCCCCCCCCCTCCTCCCTCTATATTTAAAGGTGGGTTCTACTTTTAAATGATATTTTGAATNGGAGCCGCAAATTTTTTATTGAAGACCCTAGACTTTTCTTCGGAGACCCCAAACATTTCACCAAAGCCCCAGATTTTTAGAGAAGAAACAACAAAATGTTCATTCGAGACCCCAAACTTTTTGTTTAACCTCAAATATTCAGATTTACAAAGTTTAAGGTCTCCATTGAAAATCCAAGGGTTTCTTAGATGATTTCTTCCTAGTCTCCCACATTGGTCTTTTCAAGAATATTGCAAAACGGAAATTTACAAGCCATAAACACGAAATTCCTGTCGCGAAAATCTATTTAAAATTGCAACTGTAAACCTAAACAATGTTGAAACTCTGACATAAAACATCAAAAGTTTGCCCAGTCCGTTTTCAAACCAATTTTTCTAAAAAACAACTTTCTAATATTTATGCATATATACATCTAAAAAATGTATATTATGAAAATAAAATTTGTATTAAAAAGTCAAATCAAAATTACTAAAAATTTAAAAAGTGTTCCTAACTGTTCAGCGTACATATTTGGGCCAATTGCAACGATAATATATATATAGATATGCAGGCAGGTAGAAACCTCCTTCCTAAATTGCCTGTAGCAGACAACTAATTTTTGAACCTCTGAAAAAATGTGCACAAAGAGACATCTATAGCAAATTGATTACTTTCTATATGCCTTTCTCCCCTTTCTGCTATCTGTAGGAAATACGCATTTGTGTTATATAAACATACAGTACGCGTATTGCATCCTGTATAGTTCAAGTGTTGCTATCTGGACCTGTTTGACCAATAAAATTAAATTTCAAGGTAACACAAACATACAGTACGCGTTTTGTTTATGTTATGATCAGATCAGTTGTAATTTGTCCTAGACTCGATGTACTTTTATAGTCATAATTTTTATTTAAATTGCGTTAATTTACGTATGCCATTCAGTACAACTTGCACATTTAAACTCTGTCTAGTCAAATTCCTACCTCAGTTTTATTTGCATTGATTAATTTGTTTCATTAAGTACAATATGCAGTATACATTGTTGATACAATAGTACGCATTTAGTGTTATCACGCATAAACAAAGTGATAAATTAGCAACAATCCAGAGGATAAAATGCCATGCGTACGACAGAGATGGTGCTTTGTGCTCATTATCTCAAGACCTCTAAATTTATACCTGTCTGCATATCTATATATATATTATCGTTGGCCAATTGACATAATGGTACTTGACAAAACTGATTCTTTGGCTCTATCTGTATCTTTATCTATGTTTACCTATTCTTTATGTATCTTTATCTATGTTTACCTACTCTATCTGTATCTGTATCCATGTTTGTTTACCTCCTCTATCTGTATTTGTATCCATGTTTACCTCCTGTATCTGTATCTGATTAAGGACTGTATCCAAAGTTTGGTTTGCTCTTGTAAGAAGAGAAGTGTAAGCAATGCTTATTTCTATCCCTAGGGATTGATTCATATTATCGAATATCTTGGTAAAAATGCAAAGCTCATAAAAAAAAAACTTCTATGAACTGTGAACTTTAGTAATACATAAAACATAATACATAAGATAAATTATTAATTATAAGTTAGTTCAATCCTCTCCTGAATCCTACAAAATTTATATATAAATTACAAAAATTTTAAAAATTAGTTCTTAAAAAAAGTAATCGTTTTTACTGGTCAAAATAGACAAAATAGATTAAGAATAAAAATATTTTGGTTGATTCTTATAAAGTATCTTTAGTTTTTTATTGATTATAAGAATATTTATATATTTTCCTTAAGAGTTTTTCCTGCTATTTCCGCCTCCTTAAAACCAAGAGGAGATAAACCAACATCAACCCAACCACAAAATCTTTAGAAAAATTACAGATCAATATTTAATAAAAAAACGGCTGAACCAAATTTTCCACGGTGATCCAAAGGTTGCAAGCTCTTGCGCAAAAATGTATGAAAATTTTGCTCTAAAATAGTTCTAGTTCTAAAATGTATATCTGGGGCTACAAAAGAGTATATATGTGCGTTAGTGATGAAAAATCAAAAGCCGAGGCGTCGTTACACTTCAAAGTGGATCCAGTCATAAAATTTGATGCAATATTTCATTCAAGTCTGGATCTATGTGAGTCCCTACTCCCTGTTCACTGTGGACTAAGCTAGTGGGGTCTGTCGTCCTAGGATTAGGCCGGGTACTGTAAAAAGTCTGAGAGCGTCATGGGAGTTGTCATAGTTAGCCCTCCGACGGGACTATGCCAAGAAAATTGACCCCTGTCGTATGTTAGTCCATGGTTAGGGCGACGTATACTTTACAGAATATAGTCATAGGATTGGGTCAGTACACGCTGTTATCTGGCAGGCGGTACAAACTGGGCAGGTCCTGTTCGAATTCAAATTTACTACGGCCCAGAGTGTGTTACACGAATTAAGCTTCGTTCGTTGTTTTATGATTTCAGAGTAGTAAAAGGCACCTGAACTTAAATAACATGAAAATGTAAAGGTTTAAAAAAGATGATTTTTGGTTTATTTTTCATAAATATTTTCTCACTGGCTCACATGGTCAAAATTTTGCTAAATGTAGGGAAAGCCAATGTTAAAAGCAAAATCATAAAAGTAAAAAGATTTTACGCTGAAATTGGTCTCAACTTTATAAACCTGTAAAATGAAAATTTTCAGACACTAATACAAATTAATTTTTATCAAGTTTCCCCCCCCCCCGCCGTCTGAAATTCAACATATATTATTTGAAATTAAAATTAAACTTGAAAATTTTTAACGTTGAATTTGACCATGGATGTGGCTAGTTGAGCAATATAAATTTCAAAACCAACAATAAAAAAAATCATTATCGTTCTAGATAAACAATATCAAATACAAGTTTTGTTCATTTTTTTAATGACAAATTTACCTGTTTGAACTATTCCATTCACTTTCTCCGTGTCTGAGAAGAATTAAAGTTGCTCTGTTCATGATTAGACTTTATTACATTCTCTAAGCAACACAAAAAATAAGTTAGGTCATGATTAGACTTTATAAAACATTAAATGTATTACATGACGAAATGTATCATTATTATGAAATGTATCAATATCCATGAAATGTATTATTATGATGAAAATGTATCATTATTATGAAATGTATCATGGTAATTTTCTAGAGAACGACTTTTGGCCCCCCTATATATAGATNTCATTATGATGAAATTTATAATTATTATGATATGTAACAGTATAACGAAATGTATCATAATGATGAAATGTATCATTGTAATGAAATGTATCATTATGATGAAAAGTATCATTATTATGAAATGTATCATAATGATGAAATGTATCATTATGATGAAATGTACCATTATTATGAAATGTATCATTATGATGAAATGTATCATTATGATGAAATGTATCATTATTATGAAATGTATCATAATGATGAAATGTATCATTATGATGAAATGTACCATTATTATGAAATGTATCATAATGATAAAACAAATCATTATGATGAAATTTATAAATATGTTCCATGATGAAATGTTTTTCATAAAGAAATGATTTTCATAAAGATATTTATGCAATTTATAAAATACTGGCAATGATAAACTGTATGCAATTCATAAAATGTTTAAGATTTAGAAAATGTATAAACAGTGTCTAAATTGTACAAGAAAATGAATGTTTTTTGGCTAGTTTAGTTTAGGAAGATCTCTCTTTATAAACAAACCCCAATTATCTTATAAACAACACACAACTTTGAAGCCTTGATACAAGAGCTACTAGACCCCACCCCCCCGATATTGTTGTAGTTCCTTGAAGTAGTTTGTGTATATTTATCTCAGTGTGCAGCAGTGGACTTTTTTAAACTACAATTTACTTGTGTGTATTCATTACTAGAAATGAGAAAAAAATCTTCAGAGTTTGTTTACAAAAATTATTTTGATCACAGAAAAGACGAAAAATCTTGATTCTGCAGTTTTTTCACATTAAATTTAGTAATTTTTTATAAAATGTGCGGCTTGTGTAAGAGTAACACAGCTAGTTTCTAGATACTGCCTGATCTAATGATAACAACCTACTGTTGAATGATACACAATATTATTCTAAAAAGTTCTCCGAGCTTTTTCTTCTCCTGATCAGCTGATCATATGCTTTCCTAGCGAGTTCTGTTAAACTGTCAGCTTTCATAACTATACGTTTATCTTATAGTTTTTTATATACGTATTGCGTACGCACGCAATGTGGCCTTGATTTTATGCGTAATAATTTTTATTTGTTTACAAATACTTAATATGAATCGTAGTAAGTTTTCATTTTAATATCAAATTAATCATTCGTGGAGCTAGAGGCTATCTTTTTAATTATATAATAGTAAAAATATTTTACTATTCATCCCTGTCTTTAGTTTAAATTTGAATGAAATGTGGGTTATATTTGTTTTAATGAATTCCTATACTTATTGAATAAAATCAGCTGTGATATAATACATTTATCGATAGATTAGAAAAACGTACTTAATTTAATAACAATATCTAATAAAAATATTAGCTTTAAATATCCACTTATTTTCAGGCGCTATTTTTCAGAACATAGGTTATTCGTAGTCCAGATTAAAACAGATTAAAATCATGAAATTGAAACATGTTTAATGTTTATATCTTCTCCTTACCTCTCCTCGTCCCAACTCTCTTCGACCTTTCCACCTCTAGTTTATAAACATGAAGGTTACAAATACTTTGTTAGGTTTCATCATGCTGTTTCTCCTGGTATATATTCATCTATACCAGGAGAAACTGAACCAGTCTACTTCTAGACAATATATCTATATATATAAGAAATGGGAGATATATATCTATTAAATACTAGATGTTCCTTAACAGAGAGAATACAGAGGGAAGCACAGGTATAAAACTAGAATATAGAAATTGGATGAGATAGGGGGAGGGCCGAGGGGGGGTCTAACCATATTGGAAGATTTTGTGGTGATTCGTTGATTCAAGGGTTCAATATTCAAGGGTTCAATATTTAAGGGTTCAATATTCAAGGGTTAAATATGAAAAGGTTTAGTATTCTAGGGTTCAATATTCAAGGGTTCAATTTATTGAAGGGTTCAATATTCAAGAGTTCAATATTCAAGGGTTCAATATTCAAGGGTTCAATATTCAAGGGTTTAATATTGAAGGTTTCAATATTCAAGGTTCAATTTTTAAGGATTCATTATTCAAAGGTTTAATATTCATGGGTTCAATATTCAAAGGTTTAATATTCATGGGTTCAATATTCAAGGGTTCAATATGCAAGGTTGGATTTTTCAGGGTTCAATATTCATGAAGGTTAAATTTTTCAGGGTTCAATAAAGGTTTGATATCAAGGGTGTTCAAGGGTTCAATATGCAAGGGTTCAATTTTTAAGGGTTCAATATTCAAGGGTTCAATGTTCATGGATTCAATATTCATGGGTTCAATATTTAATGGTTCAGTATTCAAGGATTCAATATTCAAGAGTTCAATATTCAAGGGTTCAATATTTAAAGGTTTAATATCAAGTGTTCAATATGCAAGGGTTCAATTTTTAAGGGTTGTAATGCAAAATATGGACATATTATTTATATATCTATCTGCATAGGAAAATTATGTAAATTTTACAGATGTACGTACAGCGACGGCTAGGTTTTTCACCCTTTTCTCCANACCAAACCCTAAACCCTAAACCCCTAAACCTTCCTCCCCCGCACAAATGCAGATTAAAATGTTTGTCAGTAATCATTTAACCTTGGTTCCGTAATGTGTAAACCGATTGTTAGATCCGTTTTCAAGATTATTGATATTTATGTTAATTTAGTGAATAATATTATGAATAGTGTGTGACAGTAGTCAGTGAGAGTTTATCATTAAGATTAAGGATGAGTTACGAGTACATATATAGGATGAAGAATATATAAAAGAGTGAGGATGAGTAAATGTAGGATGAAGGATGGCGAATATCAAGGAGAGGATGAGTTCATGTAGGATAAAGGATGAAGACTATGAAGGAGAGAATGAGTATAAGTAAGATGAAGGATAAAGTAGATAAAGGAAGGATGAGAATATAGAATGAAGAATGAAGAATTTAATGGATAGGATGAGTACATGTAGGAAGAAGAATAAAGAACATAAAGTAAAGGATGAGTAAATAAAGGATGAATAAAATCTGGAGAGGATGAGTATATGAAGTATATGAAGAATGAAGAATATGACTAGAGGTTGAAGAAAGCCAGGATTGCATAATATCTCCGGGTTTACCCTTGAAAGGACGAATGCTCTCTCTCTGAGAAAGTCACGTTAAACCGGGTTTGAAGCTACTCCACTAGGCATCAGCTTAGTTACACCATTCCTTCAGTCTTGTTTTACTTGTCTACTGTCTAGTGTCAACTTCTGTCTAATGTTTATCCAGACATAACTCCTGTCCAGTGTTGAATTGTGTCCAGTATTAGATTGTGGTAAGTTTTAAGGCGAGTGACATGTAAGGTAGTTGAACTGAGTATGCAGTGTTGTGGAAACTTCTTTCGGATTCATTTGAGATATATTAAACTTTTTAAAGATATGTAAATCCTGAGTTTGAGCGCAAATTCGACGTTCAAAGAAGTTTTCCACAACACTGCATACTCAGTTCAACTACCTTACATAGCCGGTCACCCCTTTAAATAGAGTACAGTTTAAAACAATGGTTTAGCTAGTTTTTAGGGGCAAAAGTGTCTATTATAGTTTTAACTATAGTCCTATGCTAACTTGAGTCTAGCGGTTGATCTACACAACAGTATCTAGTTTTATCCAGTTTCAAGTAGTATTTAGCAATGATAAAAATTAAGTGTCTAATGTTCTATCTAACTAGAGTTGAAAAGTGTCTAGTTTATAGAGTCTAGACATAATTATTGTCTAATGTCTAGCCTGTAATAATATCGTGTATAGTTTCCTAGGTTCTGCATGATGTGAAATGCCCAGAATTTTGAATCTATAATGTTACGATTAATTTTTACTTTATTGTAATAAATATATCCTTTCAGTGTTTACTACTATTCATCCCTGTCTTTANCAAAAGATGGATATCTCTTCTGTTTTATATCCTATCTTAATTTTCCTTGTATGTTTCCAGTTCGAAGTTCTTCTTTTTCCTATTTTAAAGTTTTCTTTGTCATTTTTGTGCGCCAAGGTGGCAAGGATGTATTTTGAAGATTTTTTTAAAAGTCGAAAATATCTTAGTTTAAAAATGGGTGATTTATATATTCTGAATACAAGATGCCATCTCACACATACGCTGAAAGAAGCTTTTGAGGTATTCTTTTTTAACCTAGTAGAAATATAGTGAAATATAGTTTTTAAAATATACTAAGGAGCGATGTTTTTTAAGGGGTTTGCATAAAAATAAGTTGGAAATTTTTGTTGAACTGATGTCTGAAATTGCAATTAAATTCTTTTTATCGCATTCAATTTAGAAATTGAAAATATCTAATTTAGAGAGGGGTGGGGGGGGGGGGCTCATGACTATGCACCCACCCTCCTGGAGAAGTGAAAAATATGATTTACACTTTTTAAGATTCGAAAATTCAAAAAAATAAACACCTGAATTAATCATTAGATTCATATCAAAGAAAGGAAAATTGTATTGTTTCAAAAATCCGGTAAAACTGGAAGTCAGTTGTACTTTTTGTACTTCTCTCATAAAAAGATTTTTGAAAGGTCGTCTTACTTTATGTTTTTTTGTAAAATCCTTTTTTTCAAACAAATTAACCTTAGATTTATTCTGTTTTTAGACTGGAAATTGGAGTTGTAATTATGTTAACTTGAAAACCAATTTTTAAAAGAGAAGATTAAAAACATCCAAACAAAAGAAATTATACTTTACGTACAGGATCTTGCCATCTCACCTTTTTCCTTTTATATCATTAATATCATTCTATACCACCTTGATTAACATTACGTTTAATATGTACCTTTACACTGTACACTGTACAATGTATACATACATTTATATTCAATTCTCATTCGTCTATTCATGGGCCAACTAATTAAAACATTCTACTCTAGCTAGGCGGGTCCAAACTATATCATAAACTGTGATATATTATTTGTATTATCTCGTATTTTGTAGTTGAAAATAAATTATGAAATGTTGTTCAGGCCCGTGGGTTCAAGGTGAAGGTATCCGAAGAGAGTGGAGTGTCTGATGAAAACCTGAGAGGAGGGAAGGGGTTTACAGCTATCTGCATATTCGTTAATAAGAAGATCGAAGCAAGACAGGTAGACAGACATAAAAACCAGATAGACAGATAGACAGATAGACAGATAGACAGATAGACAGATTGACAGATAGAAAGATAGACAGATAGACAGATAGACAGATAGACAGATAGACAGATAGACAGATAGACAGATAGACAGAGAATTGCTGGTAGATTGTAGACGGAAAGACAAATAGACCGAGAGACGTAAAGAGAGGTAGTCGGGTAGACGGATAGATAGACTGATATACAGACTGATAGACATTAGAAATATGGACAGATCTTCAGAGATATACGTACATAGTAAAGATAGATAGATAGAAAGATGAAAAATAGACAGATATACAGTAGGCAGATGGACAGATAGACATATAGTAAGGTGGACAGATAGCCAAACCAGACAGATAAAAGAACAAATTTGGAGATAGACAGATAGGTAGATGGACAGAAATATACTAATATACAAACAGAGAAATTGATAGACTGCTAGAAAAATAACTAGAAGCACTTATAGATATTTAGAGGAATAGTTTTCTTTTTAAATGGGACACATTCACAATTATGAAGATTGGACAAGACAATTAGACAATTAATTACATATAAAACTGGACGTCAAATTTAATAAATAGCAAGAAGTAGTTGTACTAACTTTGTCTAGTTAAATTACTTTCCTAATTCTTTGTCTCATCTTTAAGAAAGTAGTCAAACTATTCGTACTTTTCTTCAATATCTATATAATAAAGCTTTTGCTCATGTATATATGTATATATTTGTATATTTAAATGTTAGCTATAGCTGGCCAAACGGCTGAACCAAATTTGCTTAAAATTTAATTAGGGAATCCATGGTTGTCCGGGGGTAGAATTGGCTAAAGAAAATTAGAATTTTTATCTTCAAAAAATAATAATTTTTTTTTTTTTTTAACTAGATTTTTTATTTCACGGACAACGCCGGGCACTTCAGCTAATATCTAATATATATATAAATTATAGGTTCCTATTCTGGTAGAGAATGGAACTAAACTGATCCTCCACTGTTCAGCAGGATATGATAACTCTCCAACCGTAGAACTCAAGGCAGCAGGTAAATAATGTAACAAGATCCTATATTATAGGTATATAATGTAACAAGATCCTAAATTATAGGTAAATAATGTAACAAGATTCTAAATTATTTATAATGTAATCAGATCAAATAAAAAAAATCAGCAGATATGTCTGATTTTGGCTGGTGGAAATACAGTAAGTATACTTACTTAGTTATTCGTGCTTTTTTAACAGTGTACTTACTTGGTTATCCGCACTTTTTTAACAGTGCACTTCTGAATTAGGTATCCACACTTTTTAAACAGTTGTGCTTACTTTGGTATCGGCACTTTTTAACAGTGTACTTACATAGGTATCTGCACTTTGTTCAGTGTCCTTACTCAGGTATTCGAGCTTTTTTAAGAGCGTAGTTGTAATGAAGTATCCGCGCTTTTTTAACAGTGTACTCACTTAGGTATTCGAGCTGCTCGAGTCCCCTCATACTCTCCTGGAAGTATTGCTGAGTACGCTATAGCCCAGATCATGGCTCTAGCCAAGAACACCCACATGTCCTACGTTATGACCAAAAAGGCAGATTTTGATATAACCAGCCTACAGTGCTTACTGCTGGAGAATAAAACCTGTGGTATTATTGGAACTGGTCTTATAGGTAAAATACTATAATTGGAGTTCCCTTTAATCACTGCTCAATTTTTCCATATTCTGATTAATGAATTTTTCAAATTTGTTATCATTAGTCGAAATATATATATATATCTATATAGTTGTTCAAAGAATTAGGACTACTGAGGATAGTCATGAGGCGTGAAACATTATGTTTAGTATAATTCTTTTTTAATAAAATGTGAAGTTTAAAAACTGGAAAATATATACAAATATATATAACAGTTTTGTAGAAGTGTAGGACTGCAGAGTTCTCAATACCGTATATACCAACGGAGATTTATATTTCAGTTTTTAACTTCACATTTTTATTAAATAAAATTTTATTATAATATTATATATAATATTAATTAAAATTTTAGTTGTCCAAAGAATTGTAACTACTAAGGATCGTCATGATAGACGTGAAACATTATGTTTAGTATAATTCTTTATTTAATAAAAATGTGAAGTTAAAAACTGAAATACAAATATATATATATATTTATAGCTTTCAAACAATGAATATAGGAATTTTTGTGTTCAAAAAGCTCAAGGATGAATGGAATTTAAAGAAAAAATTCATGATATTCCATATTTTATAAATCCCCAGTTCATTATGAAAATTTTAAAAAAAACTTTCGCGAAGGAGTGCTTGGAGCTATTAATGTATAAACCAACAAGACTTTGATTAAATTATTCAATCTCAATCAAAGAGAACTAGATTATTTTTCAACAATAAATAATCCAATTTAAATTTAGCTTTCAAAATAAGTGCTTAACTCCTATGAAATAATTAAACCTTGGATATTTGATCAAAACCAACGAGAAGTGTAAAGTTTTATCCGAAGGCTGTCCAATTTTTAACCAAATGAGATCTAGGCTGTAAAATATTGAAAACTTAAGAAAGTAAAATTAAAACTATAAAACTATAAATAATTTCTGTATCAATTGAACATAATGTTGTTGTTGTTTTCAGGTAAAAAGACCGCGGAGAAGATTTCTGGTTTAGTTGAAAGGGAAGGTTCACCAAATATTGACATTAATCACATATTTTGATAATTTAATAGAAAACCATTTTTTTGGAATAATGATAATTTTCTACCGTATAGGGAAGTCATTGGTGGCCGCTGGGCTCTGGATGTCTTGTTCGCAAAACTAGTTTGGCGAACTTTGGGTAGAGTAAAATTTCCCTAACTTCTGTTTGAAGTATTTGTGTAAAGGGATTGAGTCTTTTCCACAAACTCGAATTTTTAAACCTCTTTATCATTTTAACCTAATAGCGTAATCCTTTGATATTTCAAACTTAGACTATTTGATTTAACAGAATGCATAGTTTGAAATATCTAAGGTCTACGACATTTGGTTGAGAAGATATAAAAATTAGAAAATACGATTTTGTTTCCAAGAATCATTTCCATTGTTAATAAGTTTTCAATATTTGCTGTTGGTCAGAGTTGTGTGCTTTGACGTATACCCAGATAAAGAATGGATTGGTTCTCTCCGTAACGCTGAATACACAGACCTGGATACTCTCTTCAGAACTTCAGATTTTATTTCTATCCATGTCCCACTCCTTCCTCAAACCCATCATCTGATCGACGAGGTAAAAACGAGATAGATTTACCAATTATTTAATCCAACCTTTCATATTTACTGGAAACCTTTCCGGGAAAAATAAGAAAAAAATACCGGATGAACATGATGAAATATGATTCATTATGTCCTGAGGCCGGTTTCTGTATAGTCAATCTTAAACTCTTGATCTCAACATCCAGTTTGAGCACTTTTTAAATTTGAGGATAAATGCTTGATCCCCTAATTAAAATGGTCCCTGTTGTTGAGTTGAATAACCGATTATTTATCTTTTAAAGAATAAAAAACTAATTCTTATCTTTAGGACGCATTCTCCAAGATGAAGGATGATGTGGTTCTAATAAATACTAGCAGAGGAGAAATAATTCATCTTCCTTCTCTCATCAAGGTATGTTTACTCCATCTATATAATAAAGCTCTTCGCTCATATATATATATATATATATATATATATTCGTATGTATATATGTTAGCTATAGCCAAATGGTTGGACCAAATGTGCTGAATTTTTTTCAAAAATCGATTTCTTATCCGATGGTGTAAACCTTTGATATTTTAAACTTTGGTTATATAATCTAGCTAAATTTCTTATTTGAAATACCAAAGTTCAACAACATCAGATCGCAAAGATATAGGGACAATCAAAAAATTTGAGTTTGAGGTAAGTTTTCATTTTTGTCGCCCTCGTTTCATTTAAAGCTGGTAATCATTGATTGTATCCGCAATGCACTATAGTTTCAGTAAAAGTAAATATTTCCATTTAATGGTAGCGCCGACTGAAGGATTCATAACTCTGACTGAATAATGAGATAAATAGAAATATAGATGTTACCACCATACTATTTCTATTGGTTCAGAATAGACAACAAACACATGAATGAACCCTGATTGGATCAGGCTCTAATGAACTCGGCATCCAGGAGTGAATGCTTGTGTCCAAATGTCCTAGCCGTAGCGTACACCAATTGAGTTATACACCGCAAAACTCGTCGTATGAGTCAATTACCCTTTCCAGCCTTGATGAGTACTTGGGAACAATATAAAAGTGTTCCCTTCGAAATATCACATTTAGAATTGGTAAACATTTGGAACCTGGAGCCTACCTTGGATAAAAGGAACTACAACTACCAAGTTCAAACTCTTATTTTCTAATCCATTTAATCTTTCAACCTGATGTCGCAATCTGTTGATATTTCAAACTAAGAGTTTATCTAAATCAATTGCTCAAAAGTTTGTAACTCTAAAGATCTGCAAGGATTAGAAAATTAGAGATATTCTTTGGAAGATTATCTAAAACCGGTGTTGATCAACATGAATGTTTAGACTGTTAAATAATAAAATTTGCAGGCGCTAGAGTCGAAGAAGCTGTGGGGTGTTGCCCTGGATGTGTTCGAAGGTGAGAAGAAGTACATCTTCCACGATAAATCCAAAGAAGGGTTCCAGGAGCACCCTGATCTAGCTAAGCTGGCAACCTTCGAGCATGTTATTCTCTCCTCTCATATTGCCTTCTATACAGACCAGGTATGTAGATTTATTTGTAACTATTTAATGGGATTGTTCACATATTTGAATAGTTTTAAAGGGATAGTTCACATATTTGAATATGTTTAAAGGGATAGTTCACATATTTCAATATGTTTAAAGGGATTGTTCACATATTTAATCATGTTTAAAGGGATTGTTCACATATTTGAATAGGATTAAAGGGATAGTTCACATATTTAATCTTCATGGGGTTTGTTACCAACTTGAAAAACAACAAAATTCCTCAATTCTTAAAATTAGGAATAACTGAAACTTACTTACTAATCAAAGATGCCCTGAAAGAGACTGTCATTTTAATTTTAAGGTACCCTCAATTTCAAAAGGGTTCTGTCCGATTCACAACTGACACTTAAGAGAATCCACAGTTGAAAATGTTTTAATTGGAAATACAGCTCAAGGAGGGTCATTTAAAATTATGTAAAAGAGTTTATGCTTTATATGATAGATATTTGATGGATAGATGGATATATCTAAAAAGATGGATATATCTACCTACAAAAGATGGATATATCTACAAAAGATGGATATATCTACAAAAGATGGATATATCTACAAAAGTTTCAAATTATCGGCCAACACTTTCTCTAACAATGTTCTTTTCTAGGCTGTAGAGCAGATAACAGCTAAAACTCTAGACAACTACGAGGCGTTTATTGGAAAAGTTGAAGAAGATAAAAAATCATTTATATGCTGAAGAAAAAAACATCACTTAGTTATGTTATAGAAAATAAGCATTAGTATTAGTAAGGTCGAAAAATATTGAAAATAAAAACAACATCAGTTGTTTTCACCATAAGTTCTGCTTTGACGGATAAAAATATTTTTTTTTTCGGCTTAACCCATTTTCTTCAGATTACGCAACCTAGATGTATTGTACTTCAATGTTTCTTGTTTACCATGACAGATAAAATTAAATGTAATTTATTGTTAAAATAATAAATATATTTGTTGTATCGGTATATTCAAAATTGAATCGTGAATGAGAGTCACTTGAAATTATTCGAATATTTGTTTTTCATTTCGAAATGCATACAATTAGGACAAAAATTTTATTCAATTGGACCCTAACAAGTTTAAAGAAACGCGCGTATTAAAAATAGGATCGTATAAAAAACGAATTTTAGTACTTTCTTCAAACTTAAACCTTTTAAATCATTACATCTTTTCAACCTGATAGTCGTAGATTAATTAACAATACAGATATTATGAACAAGAAACCATAAATCTAGAAAAGACGACATCTAGCGTTCTATCTGTTTTGTTAATCAAAGTGTTTCAACCTGTGACCTTTTTTATCTAATTTAATAGTTAACTAAACTTCAGGTTTTAAATGAATCGTTATTGTTCGTATATTGCTCATGTAAACGTATGTACTAGAATCACTTAAAGGGACTGTAAAGGAAAAATGAAAGGGGGTAAAGGCTGAAAGCTAATCACTTTAGCTCTTGATCGCGACTGATGAAAGTTCTATCTGATGTTCCTATCTCGAGAAATTGATAGAAAACTGTAACAAATTTATACGAAAATTCATATATATACAATTTAGTATAGAAATGGTAGGTTTAAACAGATCATATTCAGCAAATATGCAACCAATCTGAAAACGAATATATCCCAGAGAAACCTAATAGTAATTTAGGTTTTCTCCAGGGGGCGGAAACGTCATGTATGTGTGTCTGTACCAAAAGAGTGTGTGTCAGTTTAAAGTACCGAAGGTGTGTACTGCAGGTTTATACAGTACGTAAGAATCTCGGTATTTGTATATGTACAGCCTAGGAGAGTACATTTGTTTATTGTTAATTGTTTAATATACATGTAATATATTATTTACATATTTTAGTCAACACTGTAAAGCCAAATTTTCATGCAAAGTATATACTTTGATTAAAGTTTACAATAAACTACTCGTTATTCAAGTTTAATTATAATCGACGACATTGTTCTACAATGTCCTTGACTGTAGTCATGAGTGTGTGTCTGTAACAGAAGATTGTGTGTTAGTTTAAAGTACTGCTCTGCAAAGCAGTGCGACTGGCTTTCTCATGCCAGACCAGCGCCATTTCCTTTCCCTTTATTCCTATACCCTGGTTTTCTCCGACTATTATTTTATAAATTTTATTTTTATTTTAAATAGATGTAGGTGATTATAATTTACGTATGACGTCGTCAGAACTCACAATGGTAATGCAGTATACTGGTCACGTGATACAGACAGGCCCACGTGACTAGTATACTGCACTCTCATTGGTGGGAGTTTTGCTGCATATAAAAATCCGGTAAATCGATTTTCGACTTACGCTCAAATAATTGGTTGTAACATAAAAAGTATGAGGCCTAGAAAGAAAAATTTCACATCATGAAATAACTGAAATATAGAGCTTTCGAATGACACCTTGATCGTAATGACCTTGAACGAAAACTGTTTCCTCAGTTACTAATACCCCTACTGCACAGTTTTTTTGAGACACCCTGTATATGAATTTTTGTATAAATTTGACTCAGTTTTATATCCATTTCTTTAGACAGGAACATCAGATATAAATTTCATAGGTCGCGATCAAGAGCTAAAGTGATTAGCTTTCAGCCTATACCCCCTTTCATTTTTCCTTTACAGTCCCTTTAAAATTGAACTTTTTTATCTTGATCATGGTTAAAATTATTGTAAACTTAAAAAAAGTGACCCTCCAATCTCCATGCATGAAAATATAGCAAAGACCGATAAACAACGGTACCCTGGAGACCTTAATCGGATCAAAAACTTGGAAACGTCGTTTTATCACTTTTTAAGTGTTAAATTCTGATATCTTCTCTTATGTTTCTTTTAAACAAATTATGCTCAGGTCAGTATTCACTGAGAAACCACAAATGAAAATTAACGGTTCAAATAATCTAAAAAACTAATAAATCTAATTCGTCCTTGTTTAGACAAACATTTCAAGGATACCGTTGTAAATCGGGCATTGTAATCTTTGTAATTACGCTTACAGGTGAACTTTCGAAAATTGTTCTGCAAGTCCTATAAGAGATGTTCTTGCGTAGATTCTAATCATGGAAGATGACATTTCAACTTGCTGCTTTCTCAGAAAAAAAACTGTTAAAGTTAATAACAGAATTTCAAACAAGTATTTACTGTAAGGAATATGCAGCAATTTCACTTATTCAGTTTAATGGGTCTGCTTGCGTCTAAAATGTAGTCTTCCTTTGCCAGAGTTTTCTGGTTATCATGCTGCATATGAATATTATAAAATAAAAGATTAAGTTAAAATTCAATTTTCTTAGCATTTGAGACTAAAATGAAAAGTTCATCAGTTTATTGTATGCCACTACAGTGAATCCCAGATATATGAATACATAGTAAGAGTTTTTTTATAATGTCGTATTTACATATTTAAGATCAAATGCCTCGTAAAAATGTGTTTAATATTAATATATCAATTGCATTCATATTTCAGGGCTATTAATTTACCTTGAAATAAAATAAAAAGAAGTTTCTTTAGAATTATCCAAAGACGCGGTCTAAGTTTAAATTGAAATTTTTTGTTGTTTAACGGAATTGCGCAGTAATTAACTGCATTTATTGCGTGCCATAAGGTTTAAATTGAATATGGTATAAAAAAACTAGAACACAAACGCAAGAAAGTTGGACCAAATTGCGCGCTACAACCGCAATTTTGTTACGTTTATTCCGTAATAATTGCGTGCAAGTAAAATCCACTTGCGTTTGAAACGCCATAAGATTAAGAGTACGATTAATTAGTTTTTTAAGATTAAGTGAGAGGAAACCTTAAACAAGATTACTTTCTAAATAGATTTATTAAGGGAGAGGAAACCTTAAACAAGATTACTTTCTAAATAGATTTATTAAGGGAGAGGAATCCTTAAACAAGATTACTTTCTAAATAGATTTATTAAGGGAGAGGAATCCTTAAACAAGATTACTTTCTAAATAGATTTATTAAGGGAGAGAAAACCTTAAACAAGATTACTTTCTAAATAGATTTATTAAGGGAGAGGAAACCTNAGGTTTTATTCGAATAGAAGCCTTATAAATAGGTTTACTCTAATAGAAGCCTTAAGGGTAGGTTTCATCCGAATAGAAGCCTCAAGAGTAGGTTTTATTCGAATAGAAGCCTTATAAGTAGGTTTAATCTAATAGAAGCCTTCAGAGTAGGTTTTATTCGAATAGAAGCCTTATAAATAGGTTTACTCTAATAGAAGCCTTAAGGGTAGGTTTCATCCGAATAGAAGCCTCAAGAGTAGGTTTTATTCGAATAGAAGCCTTATAAGTAGGTTTAATCTAATAGAAGCCTTCAGAGTAGGTTTTATTCGAATAGAAGCCTTATAAATAGGTTTACTCTAATAGAAGCCTTAAGAGTAGGTTTCATCCGAATAGAAGCCTCAAGAGTAGGTTATATTTTAATATGAGCCTTAAGAGTAGGTTTTATTCTAATATGAGCCTCAAGAGTAGGTTTTATTCTAATATGAGCCTTAAGAGTAGGTTTTATTCGAATATGAGCCTCAAGAGTAGGTTTTATTCGAATATGAGCCTCAAGAGTAGGTTTTGTTCTAATATGAGCCTCAAGAGTAGGTTTTATTCTAGTAGAAGCCTTAAGAGTAGGTTTAAATCTAAGAGGAGCACTTATAGAGTAGGTTTCATTCTAAGAATGGTCTCAGAGAAGCAGTTAGAAAATTGGTTTCATTCCGTAAAGTGTTTTTAAAAGTTTTTGTTATTATGCATGCATCGTTCTAAAGTGAGCCATTTTGTAAGTGCACTTAGTTTCATTTACATCATCAGTTTTTGGATATGACACTTCCGTCAATTATCAATTTATGTTCTGTGTTTTGTACACCCTAAGGAATATGGATATAGATTATACATAGTTTTGGACACCCTTTGGAATAAGGATATAGATTATATGTATATAGGTATGGACACCCTTTGGAATAAGGATATGGGGTATATATAGTTTAAGACACCCTTTGGAATATAGATATAGAGTATACGTAGTTTTGGACACCCTATGGAATATGGATATAGATTATACATAGTTTTGGACACCCTTTGGAATAATGATATGGAGTATATATAGTTTAAGACACCGTATGGAATATGCATATAGATTATAAATAGTTTTGGACACCCTTTGGAATAAGGATATAGATTATACATAGTTTTGGACACCCTTTGGAATAAGGATATGGAGTGTATATAGTTTAAGACACCGTATGGAATATAGTTATAGATTATAAATAGTTTTGGACACCCTTTGGAATAAGGATATAGATTATACATAGTTTTGGACACCCTTTGGAATAAGGATATGGGGTATATATAGTTTAAGACACCCTTTGGAATATAAATATAGAGTATGCGTAGTTTTGGACACCCTATGGAATATAGATATAGAGTGTAGATAGTTTTTGACACCCTTTGGAATTTAGATAGAGTTACGTAGTTTTGGACACCCTTTGGAAGGTGTGGTAACAGTTCACCCCATCAAGTTTCACCCAAAACGTTTCACCCAATTTTAGGTGAAATAACGTTTCACCCAATTCACGTTTCACCCAATACTACGTTTTACTGAAATTACGATTCACCCAACAAATGTTTCGTCCAAATTACACCTACTAAAGAGTTTCACCCAATTTTTTATTCCTCTAAATACATTGCACATGAATTTATTGACCAATTTCCGATCATAACTCATAAACTTTTGGAACGATTTGCCTCAAATTTTGATTGGTTTTGAATCGTAGGAATCTTCTGAGATGGGTAAAAAAATTCTAATCTGAGTGGGTCGACTCATATGTATTATGTACAAACATAGCTGGGTTCCCGAGCTAGTCAAATATATTAATGCATATTGTTGTAAATCCACAACTTTTGTACTCAAAATCTGCGAACCACATTTGAGCTCAACATGGCGGCGCAGTTACATGTAGCTAATTACATAAATGT